GAGACATGTAGGTTGCTTCCATCTCTTAGCTATTGTGAAAAGAGCAGTAACAAACATGAATGTACAAGTATCTCAACAATAGGATGAGTCTTTTGGGTATATGCTAAGGAGTGGTATAACCAGGCCAAATGGTAAGTTCAGTTTTAGTTCTTTAAGCGTTTCACACTGCTTTCCAGAGGGGATACATGAGTTTGCAATTCCACCAGCAGAAATGAGTGTTCCCTTTTCCCCACATTCTCTGCAGCATTTGGTACCCTTTATTCTCTTGATCTTAGCCAGTCTGACTGGGGTGAGGTGAAATCTTAGAGTGGTTTTAATTTGCATTTCCCTGATTATTAGTGATGTTATTATTTTTATTTTATGTGTATGAGTGTATCGCCTGCATGTATGTGAGTGCATCCGTGTTGTGCAGTGCTGCGTAGGTCAGAAGAGGGCTTGGGATTCCCCTGGAACTGGAGTTAAGGACGGTTCATAGCCGCTGTGTGGGTGCTGGGAATTGAACCTGGGTCCTTTGCAAGATCAGTCAGTGCTCTTAACCGCTGAGCCATCTCTCCAGCCCCACTTTGCTAGTAATTTTAACAGCTCAACCACCCTTTGTTTTCCTTGCAAGTCATTTGAATAGATGCTTATTCAATTGAAAAGGGAAAGAAGGGAGGGAAAGCACACAGTGCTTAGAGGAGAACAAGGGAAATTGTTTCATTTCGGTTCCACTTTAAAGCACTAGCTAGCAAGTTTAATATGTATTTGGCTCCACTTGAATCTGTTAAGGCAGAAATCATAACGCTTTCTCCACTACTGAAGATGTGAAATGACAAAAATGAATCTGGGTATTTGTAGGGACAGGCAGAAATTTTCATATAGAAGTCACTCAATAACTAGAAAGTCTAGCACATTACAGATTTTCAAATGTTTGCTGGACTGAAAAGAAAAAGATTATATAAGTATTATTATTTCCTCTCCAAATACCCTACTGTTAAAAAAGAGAACATTCAAGTTGTGGAATGTAAATCTTTTATTAAAACAGTTGTTTTCCACAGTAGTAAAGCTTTGGCATGTACAGTATAAAAAATAATCACCAACCATAATTATACTGAATTCCTCTTATCCACTGCATCTAAGTGTCTTCAATACAATTTTTTTCCATATAAAAATACTGGGAAAAACTGATAAATAATAGGTAAGAGAAAGATATTTCTAGGCAATTATTAGAATTGTTTGGACAAAGTAAGCATGTGAGGACTACACACCACAGCCCCAGGGCATGCCTTTCTTATGGTGTTGCAGCCAGACACTTAAATGAAAGCACAAGTGTTTGGGTCACTTTTTCACTTGAGATTTTACGTAATATTATTCAATACATTTTGCATTTTGGTTGACTACCTATGCTTCCCTATTGATCCCAAACCAAATTACAACAAGAATCTCTGATTCTTTTAACAATACTGAGCGGTATTGAATATTCTGAAGTAGATCAAGGCAACAAACTGCTGTCATTTAGGAGAAAAGTCTCCAAACGTCTCCCAGGGTGATGTCTGGAGAAGCTGTGAGTTGAGCTGAAGCTGGAGAAGCAGACTCCAGAGCAGAAGGCTTAGGGAAGAAATGAGCACTCAAAGATGGGGTCTGCTAACATCACTCCGGTGTGGAGCAACGGTGGCAGAGAGTCGTGCTTGTTCCTTTGGCTGCAAATACTACTCTCTGGAATCTTCTCTGTCAGCCTGCACATCTAAAGGCATGAAGCACTCAATTGGGCAGTTAACATTCTGTTAAAATGGAAGAAGAAAAACATTAGTAGCAAATACTCTAAAGAGTAATAGTAGGGAGGGGAGATGCATCAAGTAGGGAGGGGCAACGCATCACACTGACTTATAGGAAGGATACTACCTGGTTTCAAAAACCTGGCAATATATTGAGCAATAGGAGAGATGTTCAGGAGTTTAGTAAGTTCTCACTAAAGTTACAATTCTGCTCTAGATACAGCATTCTATATAAGCCATTTCTAAGACTTCATGTATGTGTGTTTGTATGGGTACATGTTATATGTATAGGAGGCCAGAAGTTAACCCCTGGGTGTCATTCCTCAGATGCTGTCCACCCTGTTTTCTGAGGCAGGATCTTTATGGACCTGGAGTTCATGATTAGGCTAAACTGGCTAGATAGCCCTGGGGACCCACTTGTTTCTGCCTTCCCAGTGCCAGGATTACAAGGGATTAAAAATGTACAACACAGCACCCAGCTGTTTTACATAGCTTCTGGGAATTGAACTCGGGTTCTCATGCTTGTGTGCAAGCACTTTCCTAAGCTAGCTCCCTAGCCATAAGACTTTTTTCAAATAAAAAGTATTTGAAAGAGGAAAAGTGACTACAGACAGAGACTATCTACTGTGTACCCGATTGCCTTCGGGGAGACATTCACTTGGGGTGTGCAAGCACTTACTGTGTTCGTTCTCTGGTGGTATCTCTGTGTATACTGGTTGTAGGAGTGGCCAGTGGTGCCTTCTGGACTGGGTTCAGCCCCAGGTCTGCGGCAGTTGTCACAGCGCCAGCCCTGAGAGGAGAGGCACGAAGTCAGATGGGGTTTATGATAACCAGAGGACATTGGAATTTAGTGCTTAAGTTAAAGAAGAATTTCAGCTCTTATGCATTGGCAAAATGTAAGCAGTTTATCACTCAGGAAGCTGATGGTGCTCTCACGCATTTAGAACTCTTAGAATATATTTTGGCTTATCACTGTATCTTATTCTTACTTGATGTGTCTACATGTTTTCCTTTCTCCTGAAATTCTCTTGCTTCTCTTCCTATGCAAACTCCACTCATTCCAATCCCAGCTTTCTCAACAGGCTTTCTGCTCTAGGTGGAGGAATTTTCATAGACCCCTAGAGCCTCCAACAGTGACTTAAGATCAGGTAGACAAACTCAAACAGACCCACAGGAGAAGAGAGACTTGCTTGAAAGGAGCAAGTAGGCACACATAGACCTCAGGTGGAGCTAGGCCGCCACACTGAAGTGGGTGACTGGCCACATTCTCTTTCTACCCACTTCTAAGCTTCCTTAGCTCAACGCTGTAGACTTTTCTTTGGCCAGAGATGGGATTGGAGATGGGAAGACAACACAATGGGCCTATGGAGCTTCTCCCTGAGACTTATGCTGGAAAAGGATTCTCTTACTGTTCTTGAGCTGGGAGGAGGGAAAACAAGTTAATAGAGGTGGGCAGTGCCACCATTAGCAGAAAGGCTAGTGGAAAAGAAAGCAATGCAAGGAAAGACTGAAGAGAGGCTCGGACTCTGGCTTCCACTGCCAGAGCAGCCCCTGAAGCTGGGATGGGGAGACTTTTTCAGTTAGGTAACTATTGTTCGATTAACTTAAATGTGACTTTCCTTTTACAATTCAAAAAAATTAAAAGTTACTACAACTACTTTCTTATATACTTATTTAACATAAGTATCAAAGAGATGATGAAGGGAAGCCAAAGTCTGCTTCCCAATAAAGTCACTCTCCATCACCCACTTCAGCCAGGATGACTGAGTTCGAGTGGGTAGAGAGCATGCTCCTCATGGATCAGAACTGGGGGAGCTGTAAAAGAGGGAGATCTTTTTCTTAGCACATGTGTAGAGGTCAGAGGGCAACTTGCAGGAGTTGGTTCTCTCCTCCCACCATGTTGGTGTCAGGGATCAAATTCAGATTTAGGTCATCAGGCTTGGCAGCAAGCACCATCTCCCACAAAGCCATCTTGTTGGGCTGAGGAGGTCACAGCTTTATCAAAAATGAAGAACCGCCATGCTTATTGCTTTTGAATTCTGAGTTGTTTCATTTCAAAATTTCAATTATTAGAAGAAGGCTTAGCAATTTTTGTTATATTGAAGGAGGACACTTTGAAACAGCAGAAGAGAACCGCCCTCAGCCCTCCATAATCCTCTACCTCCTCAAATCTTATTACCAAAAGATCCCAGGGAGAGGGTCACCTCACTGGAGCCCATCTGAGCCAGCTCCCTCCTAGCCCAAGGGGTATGCTCACTGTCTCTACTTCTTTCCCTCCCCCAAGCCAATCTCACCCCAGGCTAAAAGTTTATGTTCTACTACTGTCCATGAAACATTATTGTTGATTCCAGTCCATCCTGAACTATATTCATCAGACTCTCATGCAATTATTGACTTGGCAGTGTATGCTAATCTAATGTCTACAAGTATGTCATTCAGATCCAGGGCCACTTCTCATTCCTTCTGTTTGTTGGGTATCACTTAGCACAGCATTAAAGTGATAAGAAAAGATCTGTTTGGATTGAGTGAAGGCTCAAAGAAGTGGCATTTTCTTAGGTCTAAGGTATTATTAAAAATATTTAACAATGCCACATTGACACTTACACATCACTATGACACTGGAGGCTTAGTGCTGTACAGCCATGACAGTTACAGTTCAGGTGCAGAAAAATAGGGCAGCCTGAAAATCTTAGTCCTGGGAGGGAGACTACCGGGAGAGGTACTCCAGTCTTAAGGATTCTTCCTAAGAGGCCCGGCACACCTTTGCACATAGCACGTCCATGCAGGAAACTCCATTTATTTTCTACACTACACGGACCACAATATGCCCAGTCTTACCCGCTGGCCTCCAAAACATGTGCAGGAACAAATGGCACCAAGATACTCCTTCTGCCACTGTTCTCCTACATGGTAGGTCTTCCCATCGTCGTAACACGTTGCCTCGTCTACATGTGGGCACAAATCAGAAGCACTTAGGAGACCAGAACAATAATGCAGACTCAGCTTGACTCAGCTGTCCTAGACTCATATCAACACAGCTCAAAGCACATAAATTTAGGTGAGTCATGAAGAGGCCCTGCTGTGCAGTTCTCAAGGCAGCAGTTCCACGACCTTGGTCTAATGGGTTCAATGGCAAGATGGAAGTCATATTTTAAAAGTTGAATCTACAGACCAATAGAGCTTACTTATGACACCTCACTGCAGATAGTGGTCAAAATACTCAAGTTATCAAAGTGTTGAAGTACTTCACCGTAACATTCAATCCTGACTCATTTTTGAAGCATCTTGCCACTTTTCCAGATCAAAAGATTAACCAACCCACTGTTCACCCCTCAAGTCTCCAATCCGTCCTGTGCATGAGGGCTCTGGCTCAGTTAGGGATGTGGGAGCATTTAGCACTAGAAATGATCGAGATGACATACGGGGATCACACTTGAATTCTCCTTTTCCATTCCCAAGACACGTGCAGCTCATCCTCTGGCCGTTCTCCCCCTGACGATCCCACTTCTCTCCAATCTTGTAGTTGACACCATTGTCATGGCACCATTCTGTAGGGTGGGGACACCATAGGGAAAGAGTTACTTGTGTTCTGACTCACATGACAGACATGGCACTGGGACATGTCCCAAACCCGGGTAGCATGGCAGTCAAAGATCAGGATCCTTAGGATGAACCAATTATTTGGTTGCATTTTAAAATGATATTCCTACTGTTTTGATATTTCCTGGGTCCATTTTAAGACTCACAAAATCATTTCATGGGATTAGTAACTTATTTGAATCTTCATTATTAATGTTTAAAATGATGAAAAACTAAAATAATATTGAAGTGGTCATTTAAGAATCAAATAGGGGCTGGAGACAGCTCAGTGGTTAAGAGCACTGGCTCTCCTTGCAGAGGGCTGGAGTTTAGTTTCCCAAACCCACATGGCAGCTAACAACTGTCTGTAACTCCAGTTCTAGGGGATCTGTCAGTTTCCCAAACCCACATGGCAGCTAACTGTCTGTAACTCCAGTTCTAGGGGATCTGATGCCCTCTTCTGGCCACCACGGGCATTGCATGTACACAGTCCACTTATATGCCAACAAAACACTCATGCACATAAAATTAAATACAATATTTAAAAAAAAACCGAATCAAATATTTTTGAATTTTCAGAGTCCTAGATAGAAAGTCATTTAGTTAAACATTAAAGAGCATCTGGAGTGTACCTGCTACCACCTGCTTCATATAAATGTAGAAAGTAAAAGACACAGATGTATCAACAAACAATAACAAGCTATGAATTAGGCTTCTATGAACAGAGGATGAGTTCTAAAAGTATGTAGCCATCACAAGTTGCCTTTAATACCAAATATAAAAGATGGCCTTTTACTCTATAAGATTTATACTAAACAGAATACCCTTAAGGAGCTAATGCAATGCATTACTTCTACCTTATCAACAATTCAGCCTTCCTTAAACAATAAGTCAAAGTATTAGAGAGTTAGGACATTTCAGCACAGAGTGTCAGTTGAGCTAAAGGCTCACATAAACATATGCTATGCCTCCCCCAATGGCAATTAAGTACTCATACATTAAAATATGCAAACTTCAAAGTAGTTCAGTTTCAGAAGTAAAAAACAAACAAACAAAAAAACACCCAACCGATGACAAATGTTCTCCCTCCTGAGTCCAACACAGCATATGACCCCCCCCCCATGCTTCATTCAAGCAGAGACGTCTATATGAATATACTTCATGGCTTTAAATTTTCAGTCTGGATTAAACAATTTCATGTATTCAAATGAAGTAAAATGTTTTGGATAAAGGTTTAGAAATCTGTTAAATGTCTACCATAGGTTATGATCTCTTTTGTTGTCTATAGGTTGTTTTTAAGAAATAAAAATACCACATAAAAACAAAGCACCAATAATGATTACATCTCCAAAAATGAAAAATAAATGAAAGATTATACATTCCAATACTAAATCGCAAGACACAGATAATTCCTAAGATTACTTTCACTAATAATTTGAAAAATTAAAAATCTCTTTAAAATTTAAAACATCAAATATCTTTCAATAAAAGCTGATTTTGTGGGGCTGAGTGTGGTGGCCCATTCCTTTAATCCCAGCACTTGGGAGGCAGAGGAAGGAGGATCTCTGTGAGTTCAAGGCCAGCCTGGTCTACATAGCAAGTTCCAGGTTAGCTAAGGCTACAGGGAGAGGCTGTCTCAGAAAAGACCAAAGGGTGGGGGAGCTGATTTTTAAAACTATCAAATCTATTTAGTTATTTATTGTGTGTCTGTAGGTACGAATGTGCCATGGTGCACACTAGGAGGTCAGAGGACAACTTGTAGGAGTGGTTTCTCTCCTTTTGCCATGTAGGGCTCAGGGATTGGTCACCACGCTTAGCTACAAGTGCCTTTACCTCCTGAGCTGTCTTGCTCGCTCCAAACTTTATTCTTAAATATTAACAAATACATTAATTATATTTTCCTTTCTATTAGCAATGGTCAGGATATCTGAGTGGTTGTGGGGGTGTATTTGTGCGATTTGTGATTAGTGATGCATGTGTGCAATGTGTTTACTATGATACATATATGTTTGTGTTGAAAAAGGTGGTGTTTGTCACTATAAATGCTCACCTCTGACCTCACTCAACACTAAAGGTTGAAAGGGATTTGGGGTTTCTGTTTGTCTCTTCTCAGTCAAACCAAACTCCAATGAGTTTTTAACTTTGTTGATTTATATCTAAAAATTTCAAAAATTATACATTACAAACATTTTAACAGATAGTTGAATTAGCATTCGATTGCAATGAAGCAGTTATTGACAAGTAAAATTTCCCATCATTTTTCCATGATGCAAAATGTTACTTTGAGTCAAACAGTATCCTCTTGTTTGCATCATGTTTGGAAGAGCCCATGTCTACCAAACATGCTTCCTCGGCAGACTAGTGCAAATGCATGAGACTGAAAGAGATGGAGGAACAGGTGGATGGACAAAGCAAGCTACTCACTAGATGAATCGCATCTGAAATGACCACTGCCAAAGCCCAAGCACTGGCATGTGAGTTTAAAGCCAGATTCAGACAATCGCTCCCATTCCTCTCCAATGGCATAATGGGAAACTGTGTAGGGGTCAAAGCAGGAGTCTTCTGTAGGTTGGTTCAGGCCTTCATTGACTATGGAGAAAAAGAGGAGAAAACACAAAGACACCTTATTTGTGGTTTTGGACCATGAGAAGAACCACAAGGGCTGTGCACAATGACTTGATCCAGTAGCACTAAGAAGAATTCATCTGCCCTTGCAGCCCATCAGACACTCCCTAGCAAAGCTTTGATGGAGTCAGTGGGCATTTGTCATGACATGGTAATAAGATGCCCATCTTTCCTTTCTGTCTTTCAAAACACCATATTTTCTGGTAAATCTACTTTATAGAACATGTCACAAATCTTCAGGCAATTTAAGTTGGCTAAGGACTTGGGTAGTGATGCTTCTCCAAGGTACCTGAGTATCTAATTATTTCACATCTCCCTGCCTCTCTTTCCTCTTATCTACCTCCTTGAGATCTTGGAGGTTACATGAAATCAAGAATTCAAGGTATCAGCCCTCTAACAGTAGAAAGTGCTCACTAAATTAAGAATTATTGTGAGACACTATTATTTGCTTATAATACAAAAGTCTTAGCACTTTTATATACTATTATAATGCAGTCTTCACTTTTATTACAGCATGTTTTGCATAACAGTATAGAAAACCTGGATTTTTGCACAGTTATTAATGACTAAACTGCTTTATCAATAAAGTTGACTTTCTTATATAAGAGGAAGCAGTTATGGTACAGATAACTTGGGAATAAGTAAAAGTTCCAATGTGTTCCCTAAGATCTTGTCTCTTTATGTTTTAGAAAAATACTTTTAAAATAATCTGCATTAAGTAAAGCACACCTCAAGCTATTCTTTAAAAGTTGAATAAGTTGACTTACTGTGACTTTAAATCCACCTGTGGAAAGGATATTTCTTCTTTCTTTCTTTCTTTTTTTTTTTTTTTTTTTTTTGAGGCAGTGTCTCCCTGTAACCATAGCTGGCCTGAAACTAGCTATGTAGACCAAGCTGGCCTCAATCTCAGAGAGATCTGCCTGCCTTTGCCTCCCAAGTGCTGGGATTAAAGGCCTTTGCTACCACACCTGGCTGGGTATTTTTTTAAACAGTGCAAAAACCCAAAGCTTAAATGCAATAGATATTTGAAGCACCCAGTGTTTCAAAAGTCTTCACCTGGAGGAACTAAAAAGTGTGAAATGTTCCAAAGCCAAGAAAGCCTGGCTGGAAAGGATACCAGTGACAGAACAAAAAGAAAGGAAAGTAGAGGCACCGAGCCTCTGAAGGGGATTTCACTATGTAAGAGAGACCCAGGAGCTAAAATTCTGCTCTAACATAATGAAGGTAGAATCTTTTTTTAAAAAATGTGGGGCCTGGGCTACAAAGTAAGTTCTAGTTCAACATGAGCTACATAACAAGATCCTGTCTGAAACCTTTCCTAAGGAAAAAAAAAAGGAAGAAAACCACAAAAATCCTTATACTCCTAAAAATTCCTTTTATGAGGCATTTTACTAGTGAAAACCTGAAAGGCAGAATCTAAGTATTATTGTGTACAATACAACAAATACAAAATAATCTGCCCACTTCTGCCTCTCCAAACACTCAACTGCTTCATTCACAGAAATGGACATGTGTGAAATAGCAGTCTTCTATCAGATGAAGAGGAGGCTGAATGGGTCCTAATGAAAAGTCCTGCCACAGGGAGAAGTGCGATTTATCGTTCTTTACAATGTGGGGAAAGCCAGGATTCAGGTTCAGCTATTCCCGGTCTCATGTTCCTTGGTGAATCTTCAGCTCCTGCCACATGGCACACAAAAAGCCACATGGCATACTATTGGTTTCAAAGGATTATCAGAGGATTCAATGCTAATGTGTCCTTTAAGATTCTGCATGTATATAACAAAATATTTATACTAAGGTATATTAATAAGTATATGAAAATTGGAAGAGGGAACTCTTTGGAAAGATGCTATTTTGGTAGCATCTGACATTAGGAATAAAACTCAGCCACCCCTAATATCTGCAAAGGAAGACTTTTCTTTATAGGTATTCTGTTTGGGTAAGAAACACTTAAAAGGGCCACACAGTATGGGGAGAGAGAGGAAATAGGAAAAGGTATCAGAAAACCACTATGTACATCAAAATTCAGACCCTCACTAGGAAGGACTCAGGTGTTTAAAAGTCCCTTCCAGGCCTGTCATACTGTCACTGAAGTTCTGGCAAGTCTGTGTTGGTGAGATTCCTGGGATACTTACTATAAGGGAAAATAGTAGAATTTGCTTCAGGCTTACCTGTAGCCTTACTTTCCTAAGTTTGAAGACAACATGGAAGAACAACAGACATAGCCTTCTCTGGGGCAGTCCAGCAAGAAGCATGCCCTTGAACCAAAGAGCAGTGTACCTACCTGAGTTCCCCACAGTGACAACTTCCTCCTGAACTTTGTGCCTCTTCTGGTTTTTCAGTGCCTCCACTATGATGTTATAGGTGGCCCCCCTTGTAAGGCCAGTCAGAGTGGCACTGGTGGAAGTTCCAGGAACTTGGAACTGTACACACAAAGTAGGGAGAAAGCATTATAGTGAGGAACAAGCCTGGGTTCACTCACAGTTATAAGCAACTACCCCTGTTTAAACAGAGCAAAGGGAGACAAAGGAAGGATAGAGGATTTTCAACTAGCCAAGGAGAGATATCAAATGAGTGTCAGGAGCCATCATTGCTGCCAGAATTTTCTACTTGGGTATTCCATAATTACTAGGAGCCTTCAGCAATACCAGCCTCCTTGGTATCCTGTGGCAGTCGGGGATCTATACAGGCTCACTGGAACCCATTCTCATACTTCCTTCACAGAACACATGGATGCCATGGGAGATAAGTGCATGCCATGCAAGATGCCATCAGACCAGAACCCTGTGTCCTTAAAAGATTAGCATGTCCCCAGATTCATGTTTCTACGCTCATAAAGTACAGTACAATCAGTTTTTAAATTTCTGCCACTTTCTAAAAATAACACACTAAAAATTGATTAGCACCTGAGGAACAAATTAAAGCATAGCGTTTGGGAAAATCAATCACTTCTAACAGCTGAAATGCACGGCTTCACCTAAACTTCCTAGACAAGAGTGTGGATAACACAACTCTTCAAGGACAAATGCTGAGGAAGGCTTTTTAGACTTCCTCCCAAAACGAACATTCAGGTAGACTATTTTTCCCTTCTTTTCTAAGATCATCTTTTTATCCATCTCACTAAGTAGCCTCCGGTGTGTGACAGTAATTAAAATTATTTCATCCTCTCTATGGAATAAAAGCTAAGGACACTCTCTGGTTTATTCTCCAGTGTAGAGCTATATGGATAAACAATCAAAAAACCACCAGAGTTTAAATGTAAATGTGCCATCATTCTGGACTCCCTTTCTGGGCTGCATAGTCACAAATAAAGAGAAACAGTAGTTACCTGCAAGGGAGCTTCATCGACACCCACAGGATGACATGAAATGATGTACTCAGAACTCTCCTGGAATGGCGTCCAAGAGATGGTTGTCTGAGAGAGAGCTTCTTGTCCTGTAGAGGCATTTGGATTGAGCCCCAGAACATGAGGGTAGAGGTGGTGGTCTACGTCCCCCCTGGGGACATGACCGATTTGGATCTCCTCATTTACATTCGGCAGGTAAGGCCTTGGCCTATGCCTTACAGGGGTCGCCGCAGTGGGTGGTGTGGTCCGCCTAAAACCATGTTCCTCAAAGATCATTTGTTGCCCAAGACTGGGCTGCTGGTGGGATGTGCCGGGTAGCTGAATACCATTTCCAGTGTCATACCCAGGGTTGGTGATGAAGGGGGTCTTTTGAACTGTGGAGGGAACATCCAAGATCTCTGGTCCGTGAAGATTGGGGTGTGGAAGGGTTACCAGTTGGGGAAGCTCGTCTAGCCAAGAGAGTTTAGAGCCAAAAAAGCAAAGCGCATTAAGCTCCAAGAAGAACAGCAACAATCATTATCAATTCAAGCAACAACTGTGTATCAGCCTGATCAAAGACCCCATGAAACCAGCAGTCCTCAGATCACAAAACACTTTCTAGAAAGAAATCTTGATTTTCCTCAAAGATTTATTTCTTTATAGTTTAGACAGAAAAAAAGTGTTAGTATGAATTTATCATACAGACAAAGCTTTGAACCGCTAAGCCCCATCGAAGCTAAGCTGCCTTTGCTCAAATTAAACTTGGAATTGAAATACGCAGTGCTTTTCCCCTCCTTTTTCTCTTTTAAATATGAGAAGCAAGCTGCAGGATCATCATCAGAGTCTGAAGCATGGGGTTTGGCTTAACAGCATTTCATGGTTTGAAATGGTAAAAATAGAGAAGAACACAAACACATGTAAGTTTTGTTATTACCACGTGGATAGCATTGTCTTCAAATTACACTTATACTAGATGACAAAGTACTCTGTTATTTGGTTCCAAGTTTCAGAAACCAAATAATCAACCAATACAAATAGGAGTTTCACTCCCTCCATTGAAAAAATAAAGTTTTAAAACAATACTCAAAGTATCTGGTTTGAAGTTCTGAAAGAAAAATGGGCTTTATATGGACTGGCTGTGGAAAAGAAATAGATAAATCAGGACCCTGCAGAGCATGGTAGGTGATTCTTGTCAAAAACGATATATGTTATACTGTTAGAAAGGCATCGAAACAGAGACCAACACATTGCAAAACTGACCATCTGTTATGAAACATGGCTTAACCTCTTCCTTGATACCCAGAAAGCGCTCTTTACCTGTCTTTTTCCTCCCAATCAGAGGCTCGCTCTTCTGATTGTTCTTCAGGGCAATGACGTAGATGGTGTACTCGGTTCCGGGCTCTAGACCTGATGGAGAACAGTCATTTCATTACATTGGTGGGCTCAGTCATTTTCCCAGAAGAGGCGATTGGGGAGCAAGCACTCCTTTTTAGCTGTCTGTGGCCTCTTAAAAGGTAAAATCAATTTTTCTTTCTATCAACACTCAAAGATTTTGCATATGAAGACCACCCAGCCATTTAATCATCTTCCAGTCACTTCTGACACTTAAATAAGCAGTTTCATGCTAATTTGCCTGGGGTATTTTTATAGCCTATGGAGAATCTGTCAGCACTGTAAACCACCAATGGAATGTACATTTGGGGACGATCACTGCAGATGTCACACACGAATCTATTTAGACCTAATAACCAGGTGGCCTTCAATACAGCACAAATATTTAGAGGAAAGATTTGTGGCCCCTATGAGACGTATCCAGCTTAAGTCTTCCCACATCAGATTCTATTTTTCTGCCCCCTCCCACTCCCCAATGCAACAAAAATCAGTGTTTCTTAATATTTATATTGTGGCGATTTTAGCATCAAGATGGTATTACACGTGCACATTTATCTTTTTGACAGAAGTAATACTGGCAGTCTATAATCTTTCCCATAAAGGTGGACAATTCTTTTCTCCATTCCAGGCATTCCCTCCAGTAGAGGTGGTTGGGGTGGCTGTCCCACCAGACCTAATTTGTGGAAATGGATAGTGGGGCCAATGGTAGTCAGTGCTCTGACAAGTTTCAGAAGATCACCAGACTATAGGGAGTTGAAGATGATGAGATCATGGTTATCTAGTTTGCTTTGAAAGTATCTTCTCCCAGAAATTGACAGTTTAATTCACAATGAACAACAACAGATCTGGCTGTGCCATGTGACAGCGCTGAAATTGCATGCTCATGAATGCCTACGTTTGGAGAACACTGCTGTTCCTAAAAAGAATGCCTTCTAAAGTACTGGGCATCTCATTCTCATTATGTAGCATCAAAGACACAATTGGAGAGGGTTAGGATTTTGAATATATGGGATTAAAGGGGAAAATCACAGCATAGATGCAATACCAGTAATGGTGGCCTCAGTGACACCAGGACGCGGCCGAGGAACCACTTCTCTGGGAGGGGACCCAGGTTTCTCATATTTGATAATGTAGCCAGTAATCCTGGCACGGGGTGCCTGCCATGATACTAGTAAGGAGTTGGGTGTGGTGGTCAGGAACCTCAGGTTGGATGGTGCATCAATGGCTGAAAGAAAACAAAATAAAGTCTGAGAAAATGAATGATCATGAAAATATCTCTCACATTTGCCTATGGCTTTCTACACAGAGTTGGATAACCTGAGAATTCTGGGCGCTAATATGGAAATTTCAGCTTTCCACTTGTTAAGTTTACTCAACTGATTATATGACGCATCAGTGACATTTCCTTAGTAGAAAGTATAGTTACCAGTGGAAGCGTCGATGACCACAGGGGAGCTCCGGGCATTGTCATTCAGAGTATACAGGTGGATCTTGTAGTCAGTGCCTGGTTGTAAACCTGGGATTTGAAAAGACATGTTTTTTATTTATTCTTATTTTACTAAGAGAGTTCTTAAGCTTGCCTGCAGTTTCCTTGATTCCTACATCATCCTGTATTTTTGTAGGCTACAGAAGTGATCTGCATGGGAACAGTAAAGTAGAGCATGGTGTAAACATTAACTGATAAAGTATCTCCAAAGCAAGTCACAAGCAGATGAAGACTGAAGGAATTGAAATGCTGCTTTAAAAGTCATATTCTTGGAGAATGAGGGGTAGTCATCCACTGAGTGGGCTTTCTCCTTAAATAAGCAGGTAGACACTGTTGGTACCTGGGGTCACAATTTGAATACTCAAAAAGACCTGACACATTTCCTGATTACAACTTTGATCTTTATTACATAGTACTGTTTGTAATTATAAATTTCTTTATCTTATTTCTCAATCCATGTTAATGCTATGAACTATATACAACTGTATTGTGTCTTTTGGTTTTAAGCATTATTTACTTTTTTTTCTTTAAGACATGATTTTACTATGCAGCCCAGGCTGAGTTTGATCATGATCAAACTCATGATCCTCCTGCCTCAGCCTCTCAAGTGCTGTGACTACAGGTGTGTGTATGGGGGCAGGGGGGCTGGAGAGATGGCTCAGTGGTAAAGAGCACTGGCTGTTCTTCCAGAGGCATCAGGTTCAGTTTCCAGAACCCACGTGGCGGCTAACAACCATCCAAAACTCCGATTCCAGGGGATCTGACACCCTCTTCTGACCTCTATGGGCATTGCATGACACAGGTGCACTTAAATACATGCAGGCAATATACTCATACACATAAAATAACAAAATATTTTAAAATAAAAACAATACAAGGCATTTGATGACAAAACAAAGTTGGTGAATGAAACTTAAGCTATTTCTCTGACAAAAATTAAGCCAAATTTTTCAAAAGATTATGGAATGACAATAACTTTTCAAACTGTGTTACCATAAAACATGGTAGTCATGGAATAACTAATAAGCAGTTTACACTGTAGGTGTACACACAATTTGACTGCTGAGTTCCCTAACCTGTAATGGTGTAGCTTCTGACATCTGGGCTGATGGTTCTCTGCACCGGGGTCTGACCGTTGGCTGGGATGGCATCTATTTGGAAGCCAGTGATAGTCTCAGTCTTTGTTCGCCAGCTAATGGTGATGGTGGTCTCCGTAGCATCTGTCACACGGGCTCGTCTTGGAGGGCTGACATCTGCACGGAGTCACAGCTAGAAATCAGTGCCTGCTCACACATGTAAGGCTTTGATATTTTAAAACATTTCCTTATCACACATCAAATACATTCACTTCAGAAAACACTGACTAGTAGCATGTAGGTTATCTCCTTTGACATTCAGAAAGAAAGGTCAACAGTATTTAGGAAATATGAATATTCACTTCTTATGTCTTTGCTTTGAAGAAATGAAAAGCTTTGTAAATCCTACTGGTGGCTCCCAGAGCTGACTTTATGTGTCTACAAATACTTCAATAAGTGTTAGAATGATTAATTTACCGTAATGTAAAAATGTGTGGTAGGAATTATAACAAGCATAGCCAGATAGCAATAATATGCATAGCTGGTATTATTACTGATATTCTGTCATTTTTATAAGGCTTCACATCTTTTCTCTCAACAGAAAAGATCCCTATTTTATCCATTTTATAGATGATGAAACTGACACTTTATATGACTGCTAGACAAGCACATACCCAGTTATTAGTAAAGCATGAGAACTACCACACAGAGCTAATTTGGCCCCACATTTCCTAATGGAGAAGTAGAGTTCATCCTCCTTCAACTCAACTCTATGAAGACAAATTCAGAGTGTAAACTAGCTATTGGTCTTAACTCATCAGCACTAACATTATGAAATGATTCCATTTGTTGAAGTAGAGGATTTTCTGGAGGGCATAAAGATGGATTATGAAAAAGATAAGTGATCAGATCAGTTTCCAAATAGAAACTGATTCCACTGTTAAATTGGCAGTCTAAGAAATCATTTATCAATTGAATTTTGGTTATACCAAAGGTTTGTCAATACTAAAACACTTACTCTCTAGAGTGGTGACGACTCCCTGAGCTGGTCTGCTTGTCAATGTGTCCTTGAGAGCATAGACACTCACTTCGTACTTGGTGGCCACCTAGAAATGAAGGCATGGTAATCATTTGCAATGCCATCACATAAAGCCCGGCGAGTTCTATTAACGTCTTAGAGCAATGTGGTGGCTGCACAGGAAATCATACTTAGCCTAGCAAAGCCCACAGCACTGCGAATTGCTAGTACTTCACCCCTATCTACAGATAACTGACATCAGATTTCAATGAAATGATTTTTAGAATATTCTCGTGGGTTAAGCTCAAGTAAGCCATAAATTACATATTTATGATAAACTGGCAAAAAGAAATTTAAGGAAAAGTCACTCTTAGGCTGCCTCCCCCACGATCTAACAGGCATAAATAAATTTTTCCGATCACAGAGAAGAAATGTTCGAGTCTGCCTCTGAGCCCTCTTCTTGTAGCTTCCCTTGGAATTGGTCTTATGTTAAGATATACATAAATCTCACAGGATTCTGACTGGTTTTCTGCATGCATGTCCAGGTATGTTTTTAAATGTTTTAATGAAGCTGGTATCAAATTAGGTTGGTACGACACCGCTTATAAAATGTTCAGCCTATGGATATATAAATTGCCCCTTAGATACATACAATCATTTCAAAATAAGCAGAAGACATCTCTCAAAGAACTACACAAAACCCAAAGCTATTTATACCATTCTGTTCCAGTAGTCATCTGGAAAAGCCTAGATCAACATAAAAGAATTCTATTGTTATAAATTTATAATACAATTATTTGGTAGAAGGGAAAGAACACTGGATTTATTATGAGATGACATTTTCACTACCTGATAAACTATAAGAAATTATCTACTTCCTTATTTCAGTGATGGAAGGTCACTGCTTACCATGAGCCCTGATACAATCACAGTTGAGCTATCTGGAGAAAGGTTGATTTCCTTCATTGGGCCTGTCTTTTCCTTCGGGGTGACCCGCACTCGATATCCAGTGAGCTGAACATTGGGAGCTGTCCACTGGGCACTCAAGCTGGTGGGTGTCACCTGAGTGAACTTCAGGTTGGTTGGAGGAGGAATGGCTGTTGGGATGGTCACTGGTTAGAGGTTATCTTATAGGGAATGGGGAAAGGGAAAATAACGTGAATTTCCAGAAGTAGAATGGCTTATTCTTGTAGCGTCGGGTGGATTCTTTGGCCCAGGGAAAAAAGTAACAAAAAGGAATACAAGAAAATGTTTGCTGAAGAATGTGTTTTATCACCACCAATTTTCAGAATCACTGGAAACACCGGGGTAAATGCCAGAACTCCAAGAGGCTTTGGGTTTTAAAAGGCTTTTTATTCTCCCCTTAAAAAAAAAAAAAAAAAAACCTAAAGAGTTGAATTGCCTTGTTGGTCATTAGGATCGATTTTCTATTTGTATGAAAAAGATGAACAATGGCCTTTTTTCTATATAAATTATCCTCATCTGGAAAAACATTTCACAAAGTAGTCCATCTAAAAGAGAATTCTGTGTTTATTGTCTCTTTTATTTGGACCCCATGGCAGATATCACTGCTAAATTTAAAGTATTCTCTGAGGTGCAGCATGAGAAGAAAATTGGTTCACAACAGAAGCAGAAGAGAAGCAAAGAGCAGTAACACAGACTGTCATCTCTCCAGCTGCCGCTGCCGCTGCAACAGGCCGATAGCATTCCAGCTCTGCTCCAGAAGAGAATCACAGGAGGATAAAGAATTGTGGAAAGCACTTGCCCTAGTAACTCTTTCCTATGTGTCGGAATCAGAATCCTTTAACCAAATTACACACCAGAATGTGATATCTAGCCCGGGAAGAAAGGTCTCATCATGCTGCTATGAAATGCCCTGGTTTGGGGTCTTTTTCAGTGTAAGCTCTAGGATGCTAAACTTTTTCCCTTCATGCATGGTGAGGGTAAACACAGGGGAATATCATTCAGGAAATCCACAATTTTAGTATCATCTTCAAATGTCTTGCTCTACAGTGTGTACATACATACATACATGTGTGTGTGTGTGTGTGCATGTATCAATGTATAAGCTAAGCTACTTCAAATTTCTTTTACTAGACTCAGTTACCTAAATACCACTTAAATTTTATTGTTTGTGACCAATTCTCATTAAAGAGGGTCTTTCCTCATAGAGCATTTGAGGGCATTTTTCTAGACTCCCTTACAGGGAATCAAAAGCCCAATAAAGTATAACGTCAGGAAGGCATAAAGCCATGCTCCCATGAGCACTCGGGTGGTGCAGTTAACGATATACCTGTGGACTGGATTCCAATCAGGGGCTGGCTCTCCATATCATCGTGCAAGGCAACCACACTGACTGTGTACTCAGAACCCGGCCTGAGGCCTTGCAGCTCTGCAGTGTCTTCTTCACCATCAGGTGCAGGGAATAGCTCATGGATTCCATCCTCAGGGCTTGAGTAGGTCACCCTGTACCTGGAAACTTGCCCCTGTGGGCTTTCCCAAGCAATTTTGATGGAATCGACATCCACATCAGTGAATGCCAGTCCTTTAGGGCGATCAATGTCTGTTAGGCAAATTAATGGTAAGAGGTTATGTGAAAAGCAAGTTGTGAAATAAGCAATTTTTATAACATGCAAAGCAGTTTTGCAGATACCATTTTCTTTGATGAATTAAATTCCAATTATTTCACCATTAAAATAGAAAGTTACTTGACATTTGCTTAAATTTTTTGGTTTAGAAAATATTTAATGTCACATGACTTATTAAAACATAGGTGTGCTTGAGTTTGTAGACATCCTGCAAATGTCCCCACAATGGAGATTTATTTATATCAATTTAAAGATATTCTACCAAGATTTGTTTTTGCAATGTGGTGTTAGTCTGTAGACCTGAGTTTTCTATATCTTGGAAGTGGTAAAGATGATTTTCAGTGCTAAGATTTAAGTTGCTCTAATCTTTTTCAAATTCCTCTTTTTCTCTCTCTATTAAGTTTGTATATTAAATCCTGGTCCAGCCACAGACTTCCAAACATAAGAGCTTCATGAGGTACACTTCAATAACTTTACCATCCAGTCATAGAAAAGCAGGTCCTAGAAAAATATTTCATAGATTTGCTAAAGGCAAATAAGATTTTGCTGAGGCCATTTGAGCAAAAGAAATTCAAAGCACAGCAATGATCCATGGCAGCAGTACAACTGATCTTGCTGTAAGCTCGCTACAGGGCACTGAGAAAGAACACTGTCAAGGGCACATCTCAAGCTATGAACTAGCAAACAAGTTGACTTTCCCTGTGTATAATTGTAAGAGGCATCATGCAGGGGGCATATAGATACCCAAGAGTAAAACTTGACTTTGGGAGTGGAAACCAAACATTGGTTACGTACTGGTTACTGCAGTTTGAACGAGGGGTTGGCTCTCTCCGTTTTGATTCTGAGCATAGACACTAACCACATACTCCACTGTGGGCTGCAAACCTTCAATGGTCATTTCTGTTTGATCTGCAAAGGAAGTGAAAAGTAGATGCAGCGTCTATGCACTATAAAGCCATCCAAGCGACTTCTAGAAGAGCTTGATGAAAAGCACATGGTAAACCTAGAATTCCCATTTGCAGAATTATCATGAAAATATGGAGGAGTCAGACATCAATTTCCTTTCGGGAAAACCTGTTCATTCCTAATACAAATTTGACATATTAGAACTGGGGACATAGCTTAGTTGGAATGTTTGCCTACAATGAACATGACCCTGGAGACAATCCCCAGCACCACAGAAAACCAGGTGTGATAGTGCATGCCTAATCTTAGCACTTGAGAGGTACAAACAGGAGGACCAGAAATTCAAGGCCATCCTTGGCTACACAGCGAGTTAAAGGGCAGCACGGACTACACGAGACCCTGTCATAAAACAAAGCAACCAAGAAAACAAATGTTTAGTGTATTGAAGCAAAGTCACACACAAGGATAAGCTTGAGTAATTAATATTACAAGTTATTTTATATAAAAATATCAAACCTACAAGGATCTAAAAAGTCAGTTCATCCTTTAAGCAAAGCCACAAAGGTAGGTCTAAGGATTTAAGATGTCCATATACTACTATATAAAATTGTGCAGACAAAACCCAGAAATCCGTGGGTGTTCAAACTTCAACTATGAAGTGAGATGGTAACTGTTTGGAGGCTTGAATTATGAACGGAACACCATGCCATATGACATGTAGCATATAGGGCCACTCACTTAAAAGGAAAAATTGTGGACTCCTTTTATTCTATTGTATATGACATGCTGGTTATTCTTACCTGGACCTGTAGTTTCAGTTTTTGATGGTCCTACACCATTCTTGGGAGCAGTGGTCACTCTGTAACCTGTAACAGGAGAACTTGAAGGCAGCCACCTGACACTAATGCTGTTGTCCTGAACATCTGTCACTTGCATCTGGGATGGCTTGTCAATTTCTACAAATAAAAGCAAGAAGAAACTTGTAAGTCCCAGTCTTTGAGGACAAAACCCTTGTCTGTAGTTATGTGTATTCAAGTGATCTTTTACCCCTGTTAATTTCTTCCGTTTCTTTGGCCAAGACTAAAGAGTTAGCTTTGGGGAGAGGATGGGCATGTATTCAGACATCATTACAACTATTTTCAACATGATTGTTTCATTCACACACAGCAAACACACACCCCTCAGGTAAGTCTTTGTCTTGGGAGGGGGGCGACTTTTTGAGACAGGGTTTCCCTGTAGCCCCAGCTGGCCTGGAACTCACTGTGAGACCAGGTTGTCCTCAAACTCAAGAGATCCACCTGCTTCTGCTGGATTAAAGACGTGCACCACCACTCCCATCAAGTCTTTGCCTTACCTCATCAACTCATCCATTTATTTTCTACAGGCATTTACTGACTTGACTGCCCTGGAAGTACTGACTGGCAGGTACATGGGATATATCAATTAAGAACACAGGTAAAATGCTTGTTCTTGGGGTCTTCTTTATAGCTTTATCTCAAAACTCTTAGATATAGGTGCTGTTAGCTACAGGCTTTTGTCTTTTTAAGAAGAAAAAATCAGGGCAGAAGGTTTAACCTAGTGATAGAACACTTGTTTAACACATGAGACGTTGTGTTCCATCCCAGCACCATATAAAAAAAAGAAAGAAAGAAAGAAAAATCAGTTTCACAGTAAAGAAAAAACCTCAGGGGAAAAAGAAAAGAAAAGAAAATACCTCAGGAGAACACTGTAAAAATGACTCTGTGTCACCCCAGAAGAGGAGTCTGTACCTGTTCGATAATCAATGGAAACTGGCTTGCTGCTGGCTGGACTATCCCCACGGCCAGTGACAGCATACAAAGTGATGGTGTAATCTACTCCAGGTTTAAGGTTGCTGATGGTAGCTGTGGACTTGCTCCCAGGCACAGTGAACTCCTGGACAGGGCTAGTTCCTCCTGCATGAAAGGGGTTAGTAAAGAACTTGAGGGGTGGGAGTTATATGTATATTATTTATTAATTAACATTGAAAGCAGTATGCAAACCACTGCATATTTCCTTTTTTAAAGAGTGCTATTTTAACACAGCCTGAAAAGCAAAGTATTATTTATGCACAAAGTTTGCCTTGATGAATATATAAAACTCGGGAGAAATTTCAAGCTAGTATCATTTTAACGATCCTGGCTTAAAATGTCACTGAGTTGTAGACTTAGCAGTAAAAGGGGGAAGTGAGTTCTCAATCTAAGATTGAATATATTTGTGTCTTTTAAAAAATGTCAACAGAATATATTTGTTACATATAGAGGAAAAAGGAAAAATAAGAATTACCAATGGTTAATATATTTGTGAATTTTTAGTCTTTTTCCCCAGTTCTGTTTTGCCCCTCTGGTTGTATTTTATAAACACCTTTTACACTTGATTTTACAACCTATTATGACATACATAGTTTCCATGTATTTTTGGAAAAGACAAGGTCCTCTGAATGGGTCTGCCAGCATTTCTTTAATTTTATGTCCACTGCTGGGCTTCCAGGACTCCAGTCAGTGTGAGATAGCAGATAACTAACACACCTGTTTCACCATAAGTGATCCGGTAATACCTCACTGGGAGGCCAGGAGCATCCCAGCTGATCAGCAGGCTGCTGGGGGTGGAGGCAATGACCTCCAGGTCCCTTGGAACATCAGAAACTAGAAAAAACACAGGAAAAATTTCACAATCATAACTTTCAAACAAAGCTTGGAGTCACTCTTTATTTTTCCCTAAATAACTTTTCTTCATATAAAAGTATAAATGCTATAAGAAAAAATTAGCAGAATGAAAAAATGTAAGTAATTTGGAGCTGGGAGGGAGAAAAAACTAAATAATTCCAGGTAAGGGGCTAAGGAGATCAAACTATGATAAAATGATTTTTCAAATTTGTTGAAAGATTTTCATTTTCCTCAACATTTTATTTGGAAAAACACTTATATAACAGAAAGTTATAAAAACTATAGTGAACACCCATGTGCCTTCCTCCCCTCCCTTTCCCCCATTCTCTTCTCAGTCTCCTCTCTCATATTCGCAACTAAGTTACAAACTCTCAAGATGACATTTCTCCCTTAGGTACTTTAGCATCTCTCTCCCAAGAATGTCACCTGCTCTATTGTGTATA